TTGGTGGGTACTGGGATTGAACCTAGGGCCTTGTGCAAGCTGCTAAACAAGTGCTATACCACTGAATAGTTTTTATTTTATTTTGAGACAAGATCTTACTGCATTACCCAGGCTGACCATGACCTCTTAATTCTTTTGCCTCAGCCTCTTGAGTAGCTCAGATTACAGACATATAGGAGATACGAGGATGAAAAGGGAAGCCCAGAGAGGGGTTGGAAATACTTAGAAACTGAAGTACCAGCCTGTGGAACTTTTTCTTGCCTGCATGTCTGAGAGAAATTTATTTAAACTAATACTCCCCAAATCATATGGTACCAGAGAAGAAGATAGTGAAATTCCCTATAGAGGACCCTGAGAATTGTACAAATACAGTTGTTTAAAGAGGCCCCAGAGTAGGATAATGATAGTAACCAATATCCTATAGATGATGGGAGGCTAGGGAGACAAAAAGAGCAGGATAAAGTCACCCAAAAAACCTCCACTTTCACTTTCCCCATCGCTTGACCCCAGTCTCACCTTTCAGGGTCTTCATTTCTTCAGTAATCTCATTTTCCTCTTAACCTCTCTCTTTATTGGTGCTGTACCTCTGCCTTGCCTTCTTGTAGCTGAGACACAATATCTGACATCCTCCATTTAAAGGATGAGTGGTTTATTTTGACTTGCAGTTTGTAGAGATTTCAGTCCATAGTTGGCTGGCTCCAAGGCAGGGTGGCATGGCAGAGAATTGCTCATGGTATGGCAGGCAGGAAGCAGAAAGAGATCAAGGGATGAAGGAGGGAGACAGACCCTTCCAGGTTACACCCCACATAACCCATGTCTTCCTACCAGGCTTCACCTCCCAGCATTACATTTAGCTGTAAGCTCATCAGTGGACCAATCCCCCAATGAATATTATGGCTCCATGATCTAATCACCTCCTAAAAGCTCTACCTGTAAGCACATGAGGCCTTGGGGGGACATCTAGATATAAGCCATACACCTAATATAAACATGTTCAAGTATCTCCCAGCAGAGGTAATCCTTGACTTTTTAGTGCCTTACATTACTGTCCGTTTTGTTTTATTTCTAAGAAATAAAAAAAGTAATGTAAGAAATTAAAAAAAAAAGAAACAGTAAATTCATTATTCATTCTCTACTGCCTGTCTTCTACTTCATCTATAGCCTTCTAATTGTTCCAGTAAACACTTTCTACTGTGTGTCTCAGCTGCGTTTGGTATTTTTAATCCCCTCTGCCACTATATTGGTGACTTCTGTGTCCTTCTCCTGTATTCTGGTTCTCCTACTTTGCTAACTATTTTCTCTTCTTGGAAGATTTCTTTCTCTACTCATGCCGTTATTATCAGAGTATGAGCAGAAAATGATAATCCACTCAAATTTGGATAATTTGACAGAAGTGTGGGCAGAACATTGAGGATCCTGGAGCTGGCAGAAAGTGAGTGGTCACCGACCCTGGCTGAAGAGACAAGAGGTAGTAGAGGTTACCAGAATACAGATAGTGCAATAATTGGGTAGGGTAGACCACTTATAAGAGTAAAGACTTTAAGTTGCGGGTTACCAGTAGCCCAAGGCAACCTCACTGAAAGGAACCAGGCAGATAAATACCCTGATTGCCCTCTCTTCCCTACTTCCAGTCTCCTGATGGGGCTTCTCACTGATGGAACACAGCTGGAAGCCAGAAGGCCAGTTGATGAGGTGTGCCATATAAGTAAGCCTTTTGGGGAAGAAAGCAGGATGGAGAAAGGTGGAAAGGGGTACAATGGAACATAACTGGAATAGTCTTGACCATTAGTTTTAACTCCTAGATATCTATCCCCAGTCTGACAGTTCTCATACTATACTCAAGTTGAGTACTCTAAAGTCTGTATCTCAAGTTCTGACTACTTTAAACTTTAGATTAATATGTTTTGAATGGTTGATTGATTCTTCCTAATGGCTATTTTGAGACCAGTCTTGTCCAAAACAGAGCTCATCCATCCTCTTCCCTCCTAAACTAGCTCCTCTTCCAGTATTCCAAATCTTGGTGGTACCACCATTTACCTAATTAACATCCCTCAAATTAAGGGAGATGTGGGTACCATCTTTGACTCTTCCCTCTTCCTTTACTTTATATTCAGTCTCACGGTCTTGCAGAATTTGACTCTTAAATATTCCTCTATATTATTTTCTTTTCATCCCTACTACTACCATTCCTCTAGGTAGATCTTACCACCTCTTATGCTGATGACTACATTAGCGTCCTAGTTGATTTCCCTAGTTCAGCTACTAAGGGTCCACTAGTGTGCATCTACCTGACATGCTAATCTGACCAGAGACTGTTGTCTAAAGGATGAAATTCATACCTTCCTACTCACTTCCACTCCATGGGTATTATCTTCCATAGTTGACACTTTTAATAGGATTATATGCCTCAAATTTGTTATGATACACAAAGATACTGCCCAGTACAAAGGGTCACTTTAATATTAGCCTAGGTTGCTTAGTACCTGAGCAAAAGTCAGGCCTATTCCCCCTCTGTGGGTGTGAGGGGCTTGACTGAGGGATGAATGGTTAAACTATGGGGCAAAAGTACATAGGCTCTGTGAGAAGAGAAAGGTTAAGCAATAAGAAGTTTAGATTAGTGAGGCAGGTTGTGTTTTGCTGTTGTCCCTCCCTTTTCCCCAGGAAAACTACCTATCCTTGAGACAGTTCCTCACCCAAACTACTTTTCTCTCTTACACTGATATTTTAAATAAAAGCCTGAAAATTCTTGGCTTTGGTGTTACTCCTAGCAGTCTCCCCAGTTCTGGGTGCTTTCGGTTGAATAGTCTCTCTGGCCCTCATGGTGACTGAACTAAGTCTTGTCTCCAAATAAGCTTTCATTCTCTATGCTGCCATGGCCACACATTGTGACAATTGGGACTCAGCTTCTGTAACAGGGTTAGCTAAATTCCCAGGACAATGGTATTATTTAGGAATAGGTTTGGCTTCATATATTAATAATTTTTAAAAACTTACAATGGCTTAAACAAAAGCTCCCTCCCCCTTCTTCCTTCCTTCCTTCCTTCCTTCCTTCCTTCCTTCCTTCCTTCCTTCCTTCCTTCCTTCCTTCCTTTTTTCTCTCTTTCTTCTTTTTTCTTGATAAAAGAATCCCAGAGGGGGAGATTCCAGGACTGATATGGGAACTCTAGAGTCACCAGGGACCCTTGGTTCCATCCGTCTCTGATGCCAGATCTTTTGGCATGCTGGTGTACTTATGATCCAGGAATAGCAGGGAGGAAGAAAGTAAAGAAATATTTATCTTCAACATTAAGGAGATTTCCTATGTGCTTTCATTTCCATCTCACCATCCATTATCCAGAATTTGGCTATATGACCAAAACTAACTCAAAGAAAGGTGACAAATGTATTTCATGAGCTAGGTTCATTGCCACTCTAAATAAATTATTATTCTGTTGTAAAGAGATGGGGAAACATAGATATTAAGGTTGGCAACTAAAATATCTCTCATAGCTCTTTAGAAAGTTTGAAAAGTTTACCTTTCAGAGCTATAAAAAAGCTGGGTATGATAGCACAAGTGTAATCCCATCACTCTTAGAGACTGCAACAGGAGGATCACAAGTTCCAGCTTAGCCTGGACAATTTATCAACTTAGTGAGATTCTGTCAAACAAACAAACAAACAAACAAACAAACAGGTTGGGGATGTAGCTCAGTGTAAAGGCCTTGAGTTCAATCACCAGTATGGCAAAACAAAACAAACTATAAAATTATTAAGAAAATTCTATAAAAGGGCTGATTTCAAAATTAATATGTAAGGATCAACAGTACTGTTGTATATAAAAATAACCAGTTAGAAAATATAAGAAATACTGGCTAAATGAAAAGCCAGAGACTGGATGGACATAAAAACAAAATCAGACTAAATTTGGAAATTTTACAAAACTACACTAAAATTTATTTGGGAAAATATGAAAATAAACAAATATATAAAAAGAACACTAATGACAGATACCTTTCTCTAATATATATTCAATTTTTAATAAAGCTTCAGCAGGTTGAATAGTTTAGTATTAGAGAAGAACTAGATAAGCAAACTGAATGGAATCCAGAAATATAATATATATATTTAACTATGGTAGAGATAGCATGTTAAATCAGTCAGCAAAAAAATTATTTAGTAATGGTATTGAGAAAATTCACTAGTCATCTGGAAAAATTAAAACTAGACCCTTACTTCATCCAAGTAAAGGGAGCTAAGTGTATTTACTTCTGTGCTAAGTCACATTAACATTTTAATTGGGGGACACCCATACTCATACTACATTCTGGTCTATAGAGCTGGTGAGAACCATATAATTAGACTAAGAATAGTTCTTTTTGCCACTTATTTTGTGGTTATTTTGTCTATAAATCCAAATATGATTTCTATTAACTCATCCCTTTCGGTTATCATTTTCCTTGAATGTTTTCTTTACCAACCTTTGCTTCCAGTTGGATGTGGTGGCACATGCCTGTAATCCCAGCACTCAGGAGGCTGGAGCAGGAGGATTGCTGTGAGTTTGAGGTCTGCCTGGGGTATAAAGTGAATTAAAGGCCAGCCTGAACTGCATAGTGAAACCCTGTCTTGAAAAGACAAAAACCAACCAACCAACCGACTTTAGCTTTGACTCTACTCACTGTTTTATGGGACTTGTATCAGCAACTCTTTAATTTTCTATTCCTGCCCTCAATTTTTTTCTATTTTCTATTTTCTATTTTCCATTCCTGCCCTCAAATTTTTTCTATTCCTGCCCTCAAATTTTTTCCTCCAATCATTTCTCTCTTTTTTAGTCTGTATATGCTCTTTAGATTGTCCATCATAATCATAAATCTCTATCTTCACAGCAGCATCTTGTTACTGCACCAGATGGCAAGGTTGTTTTTGAGTGTTACTAGTACTATACCAAAACTCTGTACTCTGCTTGCATTAGCTTTGTGTACTAGAATACAGCTAGTTCATATATTTCCTCTATTTCATTTCAGATTGTGAGATGGGGACTGAGAACAAGAAGGTGATTCCCAAGGAAGAAATTTCTGAAGAATCTCAGCCATATGGTCCAACATTAGAAAAATTTCCAAGAGTGATTTACCAAGGTCGTGAGTTTGGAGTGGCATGTGAAGAAGACATGTTAGAGAGACATTTGAAAGAGTCCTCAGAAGAGATTATGAAGCAGTCTCATCAGGAGAAGGACTTTACATCAGGGTTGATTATCTTTAAGAAGTCACCTTCAAGTGAGAAAGACCAGGAGAATAGTGAGAGTGAGAGAGGTTGCAGTCCCAGCCCAAATCTGATGACATATCAGGGAGATGCTATTGCACAGAGGGTTAGTACCTTTGCTATCTCTGGCCAAAACTTCATAGAGAATTTAGAACCTAACAAAACACAAAGGACATCTGTGGGAGAAAAGCCTCATACATGTAAAGAATGTGGGAAAGCCTTTAATCAGAACTCACATCTCATCCAGCATATGAGAGTTCACAGTGGCGAAAAGCCCTTTGAATGCAAAGAATGTGGAAAGACATTTGGAACTAACTCAAGCCTTCGAAGGCATCTAAGAATTCATGCTGGAGAGAAGCCCTTTGCTTGTAATGAATGTGGAAAGGCTTTCATCCAGAGTTCCCATCTTATCCACCATCATAGAATTCATACAGGAGAGAGACCCTATAAATGTGAAGAATGTGGTAAAGCTTTCAGTCAGAATTCAGCCCTGATTTTACACCAGAGAATCCACACTGGAGAGAAACCTTATGAATGTAATGAATGTGGGAAGACCTTTAGGGTTAGCTCACAGCTTATTCAGCATCAGAGAATTCATACTGAAGAAAGATATCATGAGTGCAATGAGTGTGGCAAAGCCTTCAAACATAGCTCAGGCCTCATTAGACACCAGAAAATCCATACAGGAGAAAAACCCTATCTGTGTAATGAATGTGGGAAAGGTTTTGGTCAGAGTTCTGAGCTTATCCGGCATCAAAGAATTCACACAGGGGATAAACCCTATGAATGTAATGAGTGTGGCAAAACTTTTGGCCAGAACTCAGAGATTATTAGACATATTAGAATTCATACTGGTGAGAAGCCCTATGTATGCAAAGAATGTGGAAAGGCCTTTAGGGGGAATTCAGAACTTCTTAGACATGAGAGAATTCACACTGGAGAGAAACCCTATGAATGTTTTGAGTGTGGGAAGGCTTTCAGGCGGACTTCTCATCTCATTGTCCACCAGAGAATCCATACTGGAGAGAAACCTCATCAATGTAATGAGTGTGCAAGAACCTTTTGGGATAACTCCGAGCTGCTGCTTCACCAGAAAATTCATATTGGAGAGAAACCTTACGAATGTAATGAGTGTGACAGAACATTCAGCCAGCATTCCCAACTGATTATACATCAGAGAATTCACACTGGAGAGAAGCCTTATGAATGCCAAGAGTGTCAGAAGACCTTTAGTCGGAGCTCTCATCTCCTCCGACATCAGAGTGTTCACTGTATGGAATGATCTACAAAACAGGAAAGCCTTTTGGGGAAAGGCTGATGTCAGACATTTATTTGTTCATAATCTGCACCCCAAGTTCTCAGATAAATGAGTGGACAGAACCTCCTCTGTTCCACGGATTTTTATTTTAACAGTTGTTTTAAAAGGATGAGGCACTTTTATGAACTATTCATGGAGACATTTCAGTGTACTGAGTTAAATCATAAAAGCTGTTTCAGCCTTAATTCTCTGTTCCTCTTCCCTTTCTTCCTCCTCCCCCTGGATCATACGACATTAGGGGTCTGTACCTGCCATCTAGCCTAAAGTGTTGATCTTCATGAAAAGTGGGGAGATAGGTGGTAACCTCATAAGAATTACAAAGTTGATGCATTGAACATTATCCCCTAAAGCCTTAGAAAGTCATGACCTAGAAGATATACTTTATTCTTCTGTCCACTATTTAGTCTTGGAATGATTTAGTAAGCTTTTATTAGCTTCAAAATCTTCCAGCCATGCTGTCAAGTTCCCTCAGAAGATGGCAAGGTTAATGAAACAGTAGGAAGCATGGTTATTTTCCCTTCTCTTGGTAGGTGTCTTCATTCCTCTGAGAGGATGCCATGAAGGAGGAAACTGACAGACAAGGTACAAGATTGTAAGTGAAGGGCTTAGAATCCAGAGGGGCTGATTAGGTAAGGTTGGGGTATAAACAGTGGAGGCCAGCCTACTTAGCATGGCAGAAAGGGTTCCTGAGCAGCTATCTGTACTTTGAGCTGCTCAGAGTGACTGTGCCCAAGAATTGTGCATTCATTTTGGTCCCAGGTCCTGGTGTTTCAGGAAGTAGCAGGATTGTTGCAGTTTCACCTCTACCAGATCTCTGGCCAAAGGGATGAGCCATTTCATCTAAGTGGGGGCATGACCTTGCCAAAGCATTTCATCTCTCATAATCTGGACCCCACTAGTGGTAGTCCTTGCTGCTGGGCCCAGATGTGACAGCCTTTTCTTGGTTTGCTTAATGGTCTTGGATTTTCTTTCTACAACATCTCTCTCTCTCTCTTTTTTTTTTTTT